CCAGTTAACACCCCGGTCGTGACCCTCCAGAACGAACTTCACCACCGCATCAGTGTTTCCGAACATATCTGCCTGGGCAGGGTTGGCGCGGGCCATCTGGTCTTCGAAGGACATGGAGGTCGGGGCCGAGTGCTTCTTCCGCAAACCCGAAATATCCCAAATGCGAACCGACTGGTCCAAAGAGGCGGAGGCGATGAGGTCTTCGGTAGGATGGAACTGCGCGCACATTACATAGTGGTTGTGGCCGGTCATGGTGCAGACTGTGAAGCCATTGTCAGCACCCCTCGGGACAGGTGGCCAGATTCCGACTTACTCAAGGAGCGGTTCTGCCAGTTCCAGATTCTGATGGTCTGATCGTCCGAACACGAAAGGATCCATGGCAGCTCATGATGGAAGAATACCGTCCGCACGTAGTCCAGATGGCCATTCAGTGTGAACATGCAACGACGGGTCTGGTAGTTCCAGACCTTGATCTTGTAGTCGTCACCTCCGGAGACGAAGAGGGGCTGTGTCGGGTGGAAGTCAATGCCACGAACGGGGCCATCGTGTTCTTCGAAGCGATCAATGAGGGTTCCCATGCGGTAATCCCATAATTGGATGGTGGATGAATGAAGGGATACTAGGATCCATGGCCTGTTCGAGGGTCAGCCGAACTCGTTTGCGACGCGTTGAACAGGACAATTGTCCACTGACCGCTTGGGATGGAAGGCAATTCCCTTTGCGCGGGAGGATTTGGATTCAAACTATCAAGTAGGATGAAGATTAGTTCCTGTTCCTGAAAGCAGCAGCAGCTCCGCGGCGATAGGGGGGAGCTGGCAATGGGGAGGGGATAGCGGACCTTGGTGAGCATGTTTGGGGAGGACTGCATGATGAAGGAGGGTTGGCCGGAGCCGCACCATAGAGAAGCAAGCTCCGCACTCAGGTATTAAGAGAGGTCAAAAAGGCGACCACCGCATCCACAACAACGGCGGGAGATAATGGGCAAAGGGGGGAAGACGGGGGGTAGTTCGGAGTGTCTGGACTCAGTCACTCTGGGCAGCTGGTGGTTCCGTCTTGGATGGCGGTAAACGTGGACTTATTGTGTCGCAGCCAATAAGCGAGTCCCGCGGGCCAATGATGGGCCCGGCGGTGAGCAGCTGCCAGGCACTTCTTTTAGGCTCTCTCTTACATTCTGGGGCAAACATTACAGTTAACTAATTTCCCTGGGGGACTTAGTCAAGCTGCAGTTCTGCCTCCTTCACTCCGGTTCGAGTGGAGTTCGGCGGAGGTTATTCGAGTGTGATCTCACTCTCCCCTTCTCGATGCTTCTTCGGGATCTCCCCCGTCGGGTCCATCTCTCCTCTGGGCCCCTCAGAATAGTACCATCCGACATGATTCCTCTTATCTGGGCCATTTCTGTCTGTTACAACAAGCGGTTGAAGCCGTGGTTGTGAAGTTTCGTTTGTCTTATATGTTCATACATCTAAATCAATGGAAAAGCGTCATCGGGTGACTTTGTTCGCTATTGAATTACCATCGTTTCCGTTTCGCAACGCATGCGCGGATTGCGTCACGCTCTACAGAGCAGCAGCTAACCTTCAGAAGGGCGATTTCGTCCATACAAGATTCGCTCTTTTGGACTTTGGCTGACTCAGGATGACGGAAATTCTTGAAAGTGAAAGCCCCCCTACGTTTCAACCTCACGATGGATCAAGAGCTTTTACATCTCAACCATGCAACACGCAAGGCGATCCGGGAATCTCGTCTGGAGCAGATACAGTTCCTTTGGAAGGTAATTCACCAACCATTCACAAACATGAGGCGAATGCGGATGTAGTCCTACCGTATTCTATTGAGGAGCCAGACGATGAGCCTGCTGAGGCTGCAGGACAGACCGCAGACAAACCAGCGATACGTTTACTTGTTGGAGACAACTCAGAGATCTGGCAGGGAGAGCTGGTGGACTCGATGGAGGGGCTCCAGTGCGACTCAGACCAAAGCGCTAGCCGGACGAGGGGGAAGAAAAGAAAGCCTTCCGCAACAGCAACCGGTTCATCTCGACCATTCCGACAGTCATCTTCCGACTCTATACCCAATGCTCAGCGTGACGAGTCCAATGATGGTCCCAAGAGGAGGCGCCGAAAAGGCAGATGCGCGAGGGATCATTTGTCCCCGGGGATGTTCTGGCAGCACGATAGCAGCGAAACCACCTCGTCGGGGAGCTACAGTTCAAGGTCTCCGTCGACAGATGACAGTGCAACACAGCCTTCCAGTCACACTGATGCCGATGCAATGGACCTAGATGAATGAGCGATATTATTGCGGGAGATTGACACTGTCGCTCATCCTTTCGACGCAATTCTCCGAATCTATATGCGACACGTGACGTAGTTGACGCGGCACTAGCCAGAACGGGCTGGACCCTGTATGACGTCACGGGGTTCTCATCGCCATTTCCGGCGAATCTCAACGACTTCCATTGGCGACCACCAGTCGATCGTTCATGCCCCTCGCCCATTCATCTCTACTCGCGGTTCCTGTGTGCATACATTCCCAATTGGCCTATTGATCATTCTCAAAGTTGAGCCATATTGCTACAATGGCCGCCACTAGAACGTCCACCCGTCAAGCGGCTCAGAAGGCGAAGGAAGCCATTGCTGCTGCTCCGGATGTCAAGAGCCGAGGTCCTGCTGGCGCAAAGCGCAAGGAAACCTCTGACAAGGGCCCTGCACCGAAGAAAGGAAAGAAGGAGGATGACAAGGTAAAGCCCGAGGAAAATCAGCAGCCGACGACCGAGGAAGAAGTGAAGACCACAGAAGGTATGGTGTACCGTCAATCTATGGCAATTCGGGCTGACGAGATCAGAACGTGCGGAAGAGCCGGAAAAGCCAGAGTCGAAGTCTGAAGAAGCACCTGAGAAGCCTGTCGAGGAGGAAGAACCGCAGAAGACGGATGAAGAGCCCGCAGCGGCACCAGCTGAACCCGCCGACAAAGCCGAAGATAAACCAAAGCCAGATGAAAAGCCCGAGGAGAAGCCAGAAAAGGATGTAGAGGAGAAGCCGGAGGAAAAGAGTGAGGAGAAGCGCGAGGCAGAGCCAGAGACAAAGCAAGACGAGAAACCCGCTCCTGCTGCTGACGGCGCCGAAGCCGGCGTTAAGACATCACAGGAGCGGGAGGAGAAGGTCGCCTCAAACGTACTCGAAAAGGGAATCATCTATTTCTTCTACCGACCGCGCGTAAATGTGACCGACCCGCAGAGCGTTAGCGACGTTGCCCGGAGCTTCCTGGTGCTGCGACCAACACCCATCGGTGCCACATTGAATCAACAGCAGGGCTCTGTGGAACCTGGCGCAAAGTGCCGGCTATTGATGCTGCCCAAGAAGAAGTTTCCCACCTCTGGTAAAGAACGTGATATGGGGTTCGTCGAAAAGGCCGGACAGAGTATGAAGTCACTCCAAGAGACCTTCATTGCTGGCGATACCTACGAAACGTCTACCCGTGGCGAACGAACCGTTCCCGAGGCCAGACCGTTTGCCGAGGGCGTCTACGCCATTACATCTACGACTCGGGCGTCTCACTTGGCTTATGTCTTGACCATTCCGGAGACCATTGGATCCATTCAGGAGGACTTTGGTTTGCATTCTCGAGGCAGTTGGGTCATCCAGTCGAAGAACCCTAAATACCCTGGCCCATCCTATGCTCAGATTCAGAAGGACCCCGAGTATCCGGAAAGGTACATTACAGACACCACAGATCCTTTCAAAGAGCTGCGCTAACAAATCACAGTGTGCGCGAAAAATTCGGCGACTACCGCTGGGTCCCATTGCAGCCAGAATTCATCGACTACCCCAACGCACAATTCTTGATGATTGGCGAGGCTACCGACGACCTGGGCAAGGCCGCGACAGCCGAAGAGGGCGACAAGCAGGCCAACGAAGCACAGCCCGGCGAGGAACTAGAAAAGTTGGAACAGGAGAATGAAGAGCGGATTGAAGCTCTACGGGGTAAGTTGCCAAGCCTATGTTGTGATCCGATGACTAACTTCTATTTAGGCGACGACACCATCTATGAGGATCTAGGATTGGATGCGAAGAACTATCCCAAAGTGCCGACGACCTGGAGTGGCGAGTGAAAGCTCAAAAAGTAGTGACGAATCTCAAAATAAGTATTGAAATGAAATGAAATGACATGACTCGAACCTAGTAGTATCCTGTTGCAGAGCCTGTAGAGAACTGTATGCCACTGGACTAGACCCTCGGCTCTGGCTAATTCATCCTATCAAGCAAATTGTATGCAGCGAAGCGCCACGCGTCTGCAGCACTAGTATCCCTTTCGTTCCTCTAAATCCGGTCTTTTGAGGTAGTAGTTGGGATTAGTTAACAAGGGAGATGCACTTCTATTACTTGGTAGGGTTTATGAATTTCGCGTCGGTTCAGGTATGCGAAATGGGTCGGGATATGGTCTTGATGATCAGGTGTAAGTAATGTTTAGAATGAGGTTTTAGACTGGGGTACTTAGGTTCTGCAACTTATGGTCGTGACGGTGAGTGATGGATTGGTAGCATTGTGGTGGCTACTAGGTTATTAGTACTAAGCAGTTATATATGTATATTTTTGCGGGTACTTCATGGTGATACCCGATGCGGCCCTTCACCATCATGAGCACAACCATTAAAATGCAGCGACAACTCAAATTTATCCAGTAGCTAATTTTCAGCATAAGACACTGTCAAGTGGATATTTAAATTGAACCATAGAGGCGGAGACTAATAAATACTAATAAAATGAATCCGTGGGGTGTCCGACACCGGGTGTGTGGTTACCCGGCTGCCATAAATTGACCACCACTCAAGAGAAGAGGGTACTTCAGAAGCAACACTCGCATCGCGGAACCCAGTCCGGTACATAGAATATGTTTACCTTGTTTGTCCCCATCGCATTCATAATGCAGTAATCGCAACCATGACACTCGTTAAACCGGACGCCAACTCCCTCCTCAGCTCCTTACTGGCAAACATTCAGTTAATGAGATGAAATATTGATCGCACGTAGAATATCATCCAGCGACCAGCCTGGTCCACCCGGGACAATCTCCGCCCAGACTTCTTCCGGCACGGCATCTTCGGCATCCAGCAGACTCCAATTAGGACTGGGTTCCGGCTTGATCCATTTGAAATCTTCGACCTGGCTCCAGTGGTCTTCGTCATCTGGGCGATCGTGATCGAGCGTCTAGATTTATCATCGTTAGTAGAAGAATGGTCATTATTATAGAGGTAACCTACGTAAACACGGGGCTTCCGACCGAATCGGACATTGCTGCAGTCCTCGATGATCGGGTTGCTGGAACAGCTGAGGTAGACGTCCACATTAGAGCAGTTATGCATCCGGAACTGCCGACAGTCAACCACGAGAATGCTATTCTCCACCCCCGTGATATGGGCTGGGCCGTTGATCTGGCCACAGACGAGCAGACTCTCCTTGACGCTCTTGATGGTCAAGCTGGTGTACGGCTTCCCGTTGGCGGTGGGAATGGACATGTCGACTACGCAGTGTCGCAGATGGGTAATGGACGCCGGCACAGTTGCGGTCGAGCCTGAGGACGGGAGCATGATGTGCAGGTTATGATGGTTGTTCACAGACACCGAGGACACGGCCGTGGCGGCAAATCCACCCCCTACGTCTGACTTAGGTTTGTCCTCATCTTCGTCCACTGTAAATGCAGGGATAGAGGTCGGAGCAAGCTCCGGTCTTTGTAGATGGAGGCGGTTGTCGGGTTCATTCAGCGGCGTTGACGGATACATGGGGGTTTGTGTCGCAGACGAGCTAACCGATGATGTGTCAGGGGAGGGGAACCCAGGGATACTGCGTCGACCTTGAGCGGCAAGATGCGCTGCATCAGACAGAGAGATGGCGGAAGCATTCTTCTTGGTCTTGAAGCTGAACTTTGGTCGTGGCTCGACGGCAGCTCGAGTTTCAACGAGTTTGTCCTGCAGAGCTTTGATGGCCTGGAAAAGTCAGTACGGCAAGCGCTACTCAGGCACGAGGATGTGTACCTCGGCATATATCCGCTGATCATAGGTTGGGATGTAGCTGGCTGCGTCCTTGACTTCGTTGGACAAGCGCGCAATACCCGCCAGACAGTGATCGGTTGCGTCTGTCCGTTCACCTCCCACTAACGACGTATCGGCCAGCCGATCCATCTGTTCCTGGAGCGCTACAGGAAGAACAGGGGTCAGATTCCTCTCTTCTGAAAAGAGGAAGAGCATAGGTAATCAGACGGATCAGCTCAATCATACCGGTGATCTCATGCTGAAAATAGCGGAAGAACCGTTCCTTCAAGGGGATTTCGGACTTGAGAATGGTTTGATTCTCGGACTGAGAGGGCCGACGGGCCGGGTCAAACTCAGGCATCGACATGATGGCGATGATTTAGATGAAGATAGAAAGTATAAGAAGATAGGGAAAGGACGAGAAGACCGAAAGTCGACGACGTTCTGGGGATGGACGAACGGGGCGGATGGGATGTATTGATGACGTCGACCCGAGCTCGCTTCACTTTTTTGCAGCCGGGACAGCAGAAGTTGGAGCTTGAATTTTCGGGACTGAGTAGGCAGGATGTGGTGAATATTGCCCTTGCTGAAGGGAGCAGAATGCTAGAAAGCTCCAGACACACGAAGGATTAGCTATTCACGTCCAATGCACGACAGGGCATCAGTCCACCCCAGCGATAGGGGGAAGACAGAGAGGGGCAAGCGCGCTTCGATGGCCAATGCCGAGTCGATCACCCGCCGGTCCACCTCCGGACACCCCGGAATTGAAGCAAAGGGAATCCAGCATTACCCACCCCAGTAGGTTAGGATGACATGCACAAGCAGCGTGTCCAGCTCGTGGTGGCACGAGACCAGAATTCACTGGGTCAGTTCTGCTATGAGAGAGTAATTGACTCCCAGAAGATGGTTGGTGACGTCGACTAATCGGGCCGTTCGGAATTCGGCGATTCTCCCCCTCCGCGTTGCTGGCGTCCCCGCACTAGTCTCTTTCAGGCCACGACAGCGGCCACTCCCGAATTGACATAAATTATTATGGAAGAAAGTAAGTAGTATATTATGGATAGCATACATTTCATACATTCATTGCACATTAAATCAAAATATATAGTAGCTCATCACACATACAGCCAGAATGCATTGTAGCCTTTTATTCCAAAGCGCCAACGCCAATGTCAGCCGCCAGACTCCACCTTCATTTTTCCCTTCAGAATTACGTCGATGATAGCTCTGGCAGATCGGGCCGCGGAAGAGAGGGTAGACCATCGATCTCGGCCAGTAGTTCGGTCGAGAGCAACGAATGCCGTCGACGTTGAGTATGGAAATCAGCTGCCATGGGCCGCTCAACCACTAGTCGGTCGAAATCAGATCGCAGATCACAGTCGCTGGTCGTCTCAATGCCGTCTTGCATGCGGACCGACCTCAGCACCAGTTTGCCCGCCTTAACCCAGAAGGCAAGCACCTCGGTTTCTTGAGGGAAGGACAATGCCAGTTGTCCTGGTCGGAAGACAGACGGGCTAATCTTGGAAGAAGCCTTTCTCACCCGCGACAACTGAAGACGCCCGTTGGCCTTGGAATCACCCACGTATACTTCGCACATCCCGTTTGCTATAATGAATCGCGTCCCGGAGGGGGACTGCGCCGCATGCACCACTCGAGTACTGAAGGAGTCGTTCGTCGTCTTGTCGTCCAACATCGAGAAAAATGAGGGGTATTCTTTCGCAAAGAAGGCCGTCAGGAGAACCGCATGCTGTGTCCCATCATAAAACACACCCGTGAAGTCCCCGTCGTTGCTTGTCCACTAGGAACAGTTAGTGGTACATCTCTTTCGGTGAGACCGAATATACATACCGATGGAAGCTTGAGCGACTTCGACTTGTCAGGGACAATGCTCCATTGCTGAAACGTGCAGTTCCACACGTCGACGTAGGCATAGTGGTCTCCAAGATGGGTGGCAATGGCGAAGTGTTTTCCATCTGGAGAAAATTGCAACTTCCTTTCGATGATAGCCTCCTGTCTCTTCCCCTGATATGCCGTCCCCTTGGCATTGGGGGACGCGCCCATCACAGACCGGTGACCAAAGTCCGACGACCGATCCATGCCACTACCTAGCGAGACTCTCTGGATAGTTCGTGTGCATATCTCGTATACTCGAACCTGGTCTTGAAGGGTGAACGCAACATACCGATCGTTGCGTGACATCACCATGCAGGTAATGGGGAAGGTCTGGTTTTCTGTTTCGATGGTGAGGTACGCTTGAGGAACATCGCTGTCGTTCTCGAACACGACGAGCTCGTAGTGCTGTGTCTGTCAGTGTCTAATTCAAGGAGTCGAGAACAATAGAAAATGAATACACACCTGTCCAACAGAAGCCAGGACGGCGCACCGCTGGTCTCCTGCCGCGGCTTGTTGCACGCCCGGAATATCATATTTGTGACCCTTGGGCTTTTTACCGTCCCCTACGCTTGTTTCGAACCTCATCACCCAGTTGCTGCCTGCACCCCAGAACAGCAGACAGCTTCCTGAGGTCGAAAAGCAGAACCGAGGTTGACGAGGTAACTGATGTCCTCTGGCAGAGTTCCTCCTGAAGAGCGATGCCCCGCCTCCAAAAGGTAGCTTGACATTTCTGAGGTCGCGTGAAAGGGTTTTGATCGCTTGCCTGTCAAATGACTGGTCCGTCCTACTCCGCGATAGGATCGGGCTGAAGACTTCGGTCGTGGTAGCGATAGCCTGCTTGCTCGTTACCTTCGACAACGGGGCTGGATTCGAGCTGGGTGAAATCGGCCGTTTTGACGGGTCGGACTCAAGCCGTGAGGACTGACTGGTGGAGTGACTGAGAGAGCTGGAACAGGATGTGGTGTCCCTCGAGGTCGAATCAAGGAGAGAATGGCGCCGCTCTGCCTCCGAGTCCGAGAAGAAATGTAAGGCATCTGATAACTGCTCGAGAGGCTCGATCATCCGAGCATGCTGAACCCTCTTGTTGCCTGGGCATAGAGGACAGTCGATATCCATCGTCAGAAATTCGGGGCTCCCTTGTAATTGCTAATCAACGTTAACTCTGCACAATCACAACCAGGACCATCAAGATTCCGCTCCTACCTCGTAAGCACCTTTGTCATGGGCCTTTAAGCTTTCCTCCAGTAGTGGTCCAGGAACCGGATGCACCGCAGGGCAGTTGACCACGTAGACTGCGCTGACGCGGGAAGTCTTAGGTTGAGGTTTCGGATCGGCTTCGGCTGCAGAAGAGCTCTGCAACCACTGCGTGAGGTGTTGTTGATAATCATGGGAGAATGCTTCTAATTCCCCGTTACAATCCCACATTTGCACTCGGCGGTTGATAAGCCACCGCACGAACTGGCTAGATGCCTTCTCCCATGAAGTCCGGATAGGAGCCATTTGATGCCAAGTATCCCGAATCCTCCGTGTCTGTAGGGGCGGGTGTTCTTCGGCAGTTTGACTCAAGATGATCGTTGCGAAAATGCGAAGAGGCGCGGTATTGAACTCGTCATCGAAGGCAGCCAGGACCGTCCTTGTGAGCTTTTTCTTGATTTCCTGTGCTTGATTGAAGGACTCGTCCACTTTATATGCTGCCGGACTGGTGTAGCCCTGTTCTTGGGAAATCCGACGACGATCAATGTGACACTGGATGATGGCGGAGTCTACTGCCCAAAGCATATCGTATAAGAGACAGAAGGACACCAACTGATCCGCATCATTCTTCATCACGTTCGTCAGAAGATCAGTGATAAGCCTCTCTGGAGCGCCCGAAAGGGGATACTAAGAAGTAGTAAGTTTCTGTCCCATCACATGTTTCCTCAACAACACTCACAAGACCCGTTGCGAAAGGAGGAAGATAGGGCTTTCCACAGTCCAACAGGAAGGCCTGACTCGTTGACAGATCTGGGGATCCAATACTAGTTAGGGCCTTGGGCAGAAAATCACTAATCAGGAAGCGCTCGACATTTGAAAGGTCCGGGTTCCTCCAGGCCGCTCTCATGGCTCGCTCAAATTGAAACTTCCGGTCGGTATCAATCGCCTCCCCGCGCAACAGGAGCACTCGAATACCGGTGAGTAGCGTATGCGCGATGAGGAGTCTGTATCGAATGAAGTCGCCATCGGTCGATTTATGGGAGGGAAAGAGCTCGACTTTGACTTTGACTAGGTACATCAGGGCCGAGAAGATGGTCTCGGTGGGGAGCAGATAGGGCAGGAAGTAAGGGTGACAGTCGCGAACATGGCTCAAACCCTGGAGATAGGTTCGCTGGGCGTCGAAGATGGTCTTGATCCAGAAGACGGAGCGGGTGAGAGGCTCAACGGATGCCTTGGCATCCTGTTGGTAGAGCGCGATGTCCAGCGCATGCTCTCCGATGATTTCGCGTAGGATGTGGGCAAGATCACGGCGGCCCAGCTGTTCCCACACGGCTGCCACCAGCGGATGTGACATGGGGAGAACCGGGAGGGCAGGCCACGGACATAAGAGCGAGCGAGCGAGCAGACTAAAGTTCGATCACCAGATGACTGGTTTGGGGGGCACGACAAGGAGATCCGATCATCGACAGAGAGCCGCAGCGACAAAGAAGAAGTTGTTTCAGAGTAAGAGGAGAAGGAAGAAAGCAGGTTGAGGCGCCGTGCCCGGCTGCTGCCAGGTGACCCCGACTGATTGGGGGGGAAAGCAACCATGCCGTCCTAGGACGAAAATGCCTTATGTCGGTGACCTGCAGCCCTCCTCGAATTTTTTGTGGCCAGCTTATGCGAGGCTGCGTGTCTGTCTTACACGCTTTGCTGATTTGCTAGCAGCCCGTCACCCAGTCATCCGGCCCGCTCATGGACACGGGAGGGGTTGCAGACGCCCCAGCCTCGTTGGTTGATGATAAGTTAAGAAGTAATCCCTTGCTAGTAACGCATTGGTGGTGTTAGCCATCGGAGAACCAACGACAGTTGAAAGAATGAGGGATTGTTATTGGAGAGGCTAATGTGGGAACCGTCATAGCTTGGGGGGGACCCATTGGGACTTTGATGGGCGATGGTCCGGGCTGGATCGAATGTGACAGAAGCACAGCAAAGCAAAGCAAAGCAGAACAGGAGGGATAGCGGGCAGTGTGTGCGCAAGAGTGGAAACGGAGAAGATCATTCCTGGCAGGAGATGGAGACGGATGGAGACGAGGAACAGGGATTGCGGGTGGAGAGAACGACCAAAGCAGTAAGGTACCGGCCCCAGGCTGCAACTAGACGGAGCAACTAGTTGCTGTCCCCTGGTTCTTCTCCTCACCCTCATTGCAGGTGGAAGGGATCTGGCTCGCTTTAGGGCTCCTTCGCTTGACTCGGTTGCGTAGGGAAGCTTCAGGGCATGTTTCACGAAGCATGACTTTATTGTTGCTTCGTCCAATGATCCTGGCAGGTTAGATGCATGGGGATAATGACCGACTTGGGATGCATAGAATGCTTACGATGTGCCTGAGAGGATGAGCGGCACAACGAGGGGGCCAAATAGCCTAAGCTAAACTAGAACCTCGTACTAACAGCTGTATCTGCCATCTAGTGATTCTAGTCACTGCTAATAACTAATTGTTACTCACTAGTCAGCTCGTTACCCCGCCATGTCTCTCATCATTCCAGTCTTTTTTCCAGGCACCATTTCTGGTAGGAGTCTCTCCCCTCTACTGTCGGTCTTTACTCATCGCTGACATGTAGTTAGTTAGGTAAAGATCCGACTACCTGCTAACTAATTTGGTTACTGACTAGGCTGGTCCCGGTAGTACCGCCGTTATAACTGTTTTGGACCCCACGGCCCGTCCGTCTCGCCTACAATTAGCGGCAACCACCGATGGTCAATCCCCGCCCAATCTAGCAGCTGCTGTCTGTACACTCAGTCTGTACTCTGTCAGTCTGCCGCGGTCGGCTTTCTTCCTCCATCGTGCTTACCAACCACCACCACCATTATATTACTTCACACCTTCTCCTTCTTCTTTTTATTCTTCCTTTCTTTTTTTATCTACCCTCGGTCTGACATGCATGCAGCCTTGTATCGCCCATGCAAGGCCGACTGTTTCAACCCCAGGGCTTGTCTCATAGCATCATGTTGCCGTCCAAACCAGAACTGACGCTAAAGCATGTTTGCACCCTGCTGAGCTAGACCGAGGTACACCGAGCCTGAGACCATTAAGTTTGTGCCCTAAGTAGTGAGTACAAAGTAGTAGTGGTGGTCTCGTCTCGTGCACTGCCACAGCCGGCGGTTCCCCGTTCTTAGGCCCGAGCGCCCTAGTAGCAACTGGTGGTTCCTCTCTTGACAGGGTCCCCACTAAAGATCGTGCACGAGGCTTCGTAGGACCATCCACTATTCTGTGTCTACTTCTGCCGTAGTGTCAGGCAAATCACCCATAAATCCGTCAATTGTGGAGCATCATCTAGAGATACCTCTGACGGGTTTCTCAATCATATTGCAGCTAGGACGGAGTCAGCTACGATTATCAGTTTACTCGACTCTTCTATAAGCTCATTCGGAAATGGTGGGACCGCCCTCGGCTAGATAAAAGTTTAGCTATGCAAGTTGCTAGGACCACAGGCCTGCTGAAAGCTATATGTACTGAAAAAGCATACTCAGTTTCAGAAACGTATGACACCTGTTTCGGGTAAGAAATAAGATCATATTCATAAGGCGCTCAGCATTGAAGAGAATGATCTGGTATATTTACTCCTGCATTGACATTATGCGGCGAAGCCGAGGTGTGTTGGCCAACTTACGGCCAACTAGTACTAACCAAAGGTAATTATCATATATCACGAAAATCAAAATTTATCCATGACATTAATTGACTCTAGTCGCTATTAATCTAACTCACAGTTTACGAGGTATTATTTTATTCACACTTGTTTCGACTGATCCATAAATCCGAACAAGTGACTCTCTCACACCTTCAGTAGATTGAGCATCGTTATCAAGGGTCAAACTAGCCTCGACACCCCTGATACAGCCGGGTAGTGTCATGTGTTCCTTCTACATCTTCCCCTTTTTGATCATCGTACGTCGAGACATTCACTCTAGCTAGACATCAGCTGGTTCTTTCCCATAACATCTTGGAAACCTAGATAGATTCATACATACCATTTGTTGAGACATTCACTGCAGCCAGGCAGCTGTCAGCTGATCCTTCGCCTCTTCTTCCTGCGTGGCCTCTGACCACCACCTCTTCCAACCACCCATCCAACCACCAACCATCTTCTTGAGATCTAGATAGATCAAATCCATATCTTTGCCCCTTTGTCTTGACACCATTCAACCGTTCAACCAGTTCCTGCTCCTTCGTCTTGAGATCAGATGAATCTTGCTAGAAGTAAAGCGCCGCCAAGACAGCATCACGGAATGCAAGCATGCCGTTGCTTCTAGGATGAAAGGTTTTGATCTGTCTGACAGGCGTGAACAATGGTATATCCTGGCTCGAATAATTCTTGTTGGCGATATCTGTTTCGGCCTGGGCGAAACTCTGAGCCTCAAGTCCTTCCGGATCACCAGCGATGCGGAGAGCTGTTCGACACATGGCCACCGCGTAGGGGTCTGGGTCCGTGCCCAGTGTGGTGTTACAGGTGTTTGCGTCGGGAAGAGTGAGCCCATCTGCAATGAGGGTGGCCACCTCGGAGGCTATCACGGCGGACGTGGTCTTCAAAGTTTGGTTCAGTCAACGGTAGGTCAGGTAACAGAGATAGAAGAGGTAGGAGAGGTAGGAGAGGGGTCAGAGGCAGGTGAGGGAAAGGGCCCGTGTGGCAGTAGCGCCTCTCTGTATTAGAAGTTATGCAGAAGGAACAAACTCACCATCTCCTGACTGTCAATAATCACATCGTTCCACCCGCTAAGGAAGAAGTATGTCTCATCGCGACTGGGGTCTGGTTCTTTCACACCCTCTTCGCAGAACTCGTGTCCGACAAAGTTGGACTTGACATCAACGTACACAACTCTTGGGCTTCCGAGAGCAGTGTTGGCATCGCTTATGGCGGCTGTTATCACTGAGTTCATCTGTTGCACCAGTTCGTTCATCTCGGTTCTCAGCGCAGTGGTCAAGTACACCATGCGCCAGTCCCAGGGACCTTTATATGCACCCCACCAGTAGTGAAAAGAGGATGAATCGCAGGTGCTGGTTTCGTTGTTGAAAAAGAGGGGGTATCCTGTCACGTAAAGCCTGAAGTCCGCGTTCGTTGCCGTGTTCACTATGCTCAGATAGGCCTCTTTGAGTTTATATTGCAATCCATCGTTGCTACCGTCGGCCATCAGGCTGCGTGCCTTGGTTTTGTAATTATTGCACCATTTCCGATTGTAGGGGGCCCAGGTTAGCCAGTTTGGATCCAAAATACAATAGTAAAGGATGTTGCTGAAGTCGACGTCGTTGCCGCCCACCGTCAACGTCCCAATATTCGTGCTCGATGTGCCCTTCCATGCGCTGACCTTACCCGCCAGCCCAGTTGTGGTGTCCCCCGAGCAGGCAAGGTTTTCAAATGGAAGGCTGGCATTATCGAGGTAGTTATATAACAGCTGGCCATAGTTACTACTGCCCAAGCGGCAGTAAGTCCAAGCTGTCGACCCGGTCCCCATACCTGCCGCGAAGGAATCGCCAAAGTGCACGATGCCAGTCACCTGGTCCGTGCTGTAATAGTAGTCCCACACAATGAAATCGTCCATTAAGTCACAGGCACCAGAGCTACCTGTGTCTCGCTTGGATAAATGAGAGGCAAGGTTGACGGTCGTGGGTACTTCGTTAGAGATAGGGATTTCTCGGCTACACTGGGCGCTAAAGTAGGCCCCAGCAGCAGCCAATGCCCATGAATCGGCGTTCATCGCCGTGTACTTTGCATCACAGTGCCCGTCTTTGCCGGTTGTGGGATCTGGGCATAGCAACGGTAGATTCTGGTACAGAGGACATGCTCGAGTGAATGTGTTGGCTGCGAGGCTCAAGCAACCATTGAGGCCATAGGCATAATCATTAGCCCTGATGAGATAGCATTAGCTCACGTTGTAGCGTATTACTATAATGGGAAGAACCAACGGCTCGGCTTGATTCATGACATATCGTGTATGCATGGACTCATGTACAATAACTGTGGCCCGGGATCGAGAGCATTTGCGCAGGTTCAAAGTTCCACAATGTTCCAACCTCGCGGCGGTACTCGTGATCTTATCATTGCTGTCTGGGTCGGAGTCTGCAACGAAAAACCGGTCACAGAAGTTCATGGTATGGTGCTGATCATTCATGAATGCAACCATCTGCTGTGTCTTCTTTGTGCAAAGTTTTACGTTACGGCAGGTAATCAGCAACTCATACGGCTCGCCGTTCGACTGCTCTGCTTGTCCAGAAAGCATCTTGGCGGACCGCGCAAACACTGTTTTGGCGTTCGAGGTGAAAGCGCTCGTCCGCACACTGTCCGGAAAGAAAGATTCATAATATGGACCAGATTGAAAGTCAGAAGCAGCAAAGGAAGCTATAGAAATCGCGTTCGTCATCTCAAGTTCAATTGTAGCTTTTTGGGCGGCACTGCACGAGTTATCCGGGTATCTGAACACCGCACGCGCACAGGCGGTTTCCGGACAGTATCCACGTTCACAGGACCATTTGCACAAATCTGAGTCCCAACCAATCAGGGAGACCCCAGTCTCATTCACAATCGCAGGAGCTGTTACTAGTGCTCCAGTTTCAGTGCATTCGCAGTGGTTTTCAGGGCAAAAACCATAATTGCAGGCATAGCTGCAGAGCCCTGAGAAACTGCCCTCGCCAGTGCCGGCCACACATGCGGAGGGTGTAAAAGGGGACACACTTGGTACCCATTGAGGCTGTACACTGTCCGAACAATGTTGACTGGGGCAATAGCCGAAGTTACAGGCGAAAGTACAGAGACCAGCCCAATTGGCATCCCCGTTAGCAGGGTATCCCACTTCTCCTGTGGCATTCGGAAATGTGGTCACTACTCCCAGATTAGTGCAGACACAAGCTCCAATTGGACACTCGATAAAGGTTAGTATGATGTTTCACTCATGGCGCAAAGTATGAAAGGACGTCACATACGTATCCCAAAGAGCAAGTAAATTGACAAATCTCGTCAAACTCACCGACGCTGTAGCCAGCAGTGCAGATCATCTGGTCGAGATGGAAAGCAGCATATTCTGCCGTCACCTCTAGGCCTTCACTAGCAGCAACATAGCTATTCCAGTTGGTGAGATTATTGACACAGTTATCTGCTGAAATACTCCGAATAGGAGTAAGTGTAAGGAAAGTAGTGCCATCACGCACAAGCTCAATTGTGACCCGTTCTGCGTGTTTTAATGAGACACTTCCATGGTACAAACCAACACCTCCAAGTCCTTCTGGAGAAGGAGGCAAATAGTCCCAGTCAGCTTCAATGATGTCTGTAGGTGCATTATAGTGCACAATAACATCGGCTTTTGATGCAAGCAAAGCGGTAAAAAAAAGGCGATCTTGTGCAACTTCATCAGGCGCAAATTCCTCTTGTAACTGCGAAGCAGTATTTCCAGTAGTCCACTGCTTATTACAGTCATTCGATAGAGAGGTGCGAAACCAGGTCACAATTTTCTCCTCACTGACAAGACTTCGTCCGTTCTTATACGTATCAATCATATAAGGAAGAAGCTCTCGCCAGCCATCGTGCGGCATATTCTCAGCATAGTTGAAGGGAGCCCGGCCGGTCGGAAATGAGCCGTAGGAGTTATTATCAAGTGGACCAATATAATGAGACTCACCATAGTCATTCCAGCTAATGATCTCAACAAACTCAGGCTGGAGAAACCATATTTGTATCCACCGTTGATACCAGGTATCGTCTCCCCGCCAGAGCCAATTTTTATCGTAGCCAGGCATGTTTGTATAGAACCATGGAGAAGCCGGCATCATGTAAGGCTTTCCAGAACTGTTCAGCGTCTCAATGTAAGAGGCATCGACGAATGTAGTCATATTCGAGTCTCCCCATGGCCAGCCAGCCCAGCCTACAAATGCCCGAGTGCAATCACATCAGTTTCTTTTTACCTCAGTCATCATATAATGGTAACACTGCTACTTACTGAATAAAGCATCAGCTACTCCATCCGCTGCCGCTGCTGCCGGTATGGCACCCAGGGAAGACCAATCAGGAATAAAGAAACATCCTGTTTGGGCTTTAATAGTGACCCAGTCTTCAGCATTATCTGGACCTTCGAATGTAGAGACAAAGGGCTGATCATTGTAGTGGTAATAAGCGCTTGATCCTCCGTACTGACTGATGAGAGCGATCACATCCTCTTTCACCCACGATCCATTTCCGGCATAATCAAAGGAGAAGAAAAGTTGAAATCCAGCAGTCTCAGCAGCCTGAAATGCCAGAGCCAACGAAGCATTGTTGGCATACCAACCATTTGCAATGTCGAGTGCAAATGCATCAATATGAGCATCCATAGCTTCGAGCATGTGGTCTTCCCAAGTGGTAGCATCCCATGTAGGAACATTCCCCACCTGGATTTGAATATATAGGGTCAGCAGCCTCATTGAAAAACTTTCAAGAAGTAACTATGATCAATAGGCATACCATAAAGTGAGCAAACACAGCTGCTGCCCGCACATGACTTGGAACGAGCCATGAGGTCCACCAAATGAGAGAAAGGAGCCTCATACTCTGTTGGGCAGCGGTATGCAGTCTATCAGAAATCGAAGAAAAAGTGGAAAGAATAGATCTTAAGGAAAGAAAGCAAGGAAGTAGGAGGTGACAAGAAAAGTTTTGTAATAAAGGAGGGACTATACGACAAAAGAGAGACTGACTGTAACCGTTGGTTGGGGTAAATATGGAAAGATTAGGTAGCTAGCTGTCCTATTCATATTTATATGTAATTACTCGTTTAAATAGTTCGACATAATCTTGATAAACCCTCCATACAAGGATTGAACAGAAGATCCACTAATCTGTATGAGAATAAGAGATAATACGAACCTCCAGTCTCGACTTCCGAAGGCTGAACAGCTTTGACTACTACTAGTGTGTGCGTTCATTACACTTACTTCGTAGCTCAATCCGCTCTTTGAGCCATATAAAAAATAAGAAGACCCACAGTGGTAGTGGCACAGGTATCTATCCGTATAATCTTTGTGGATGAAAGAGCTCGACGAAATCCCTAGACCCATTGCTAGTTTGCTAGGCTAAGCAGAGATTACTTGATCCTCACCCGAGTCATTAATCAAATTTAGCACACCAGCCAAAATTGCCTGCTAATCGGTGGCACTAATTTCCTAGGGTTCCAGCTCTCACAGGATGTCACGCTCGAGGACAAATTTCGGAATTCCCCCCCCTCGTTGTTAGGTGTTCTTATTAGTCCAATGCATAATGCTTTGCACCTGGTACTCTTAGAAGTTCGTATTTATATGCCTCTTCCAGTAGCTGGCTTTCTTGTAGCGAACTAAGAGGTTGCCCAGCGGTAGAGCAGGAACAAGCATTGTTTCACAACTACCATCATTGTTGGTCATTACATTTGCACCGCAATGTGACCGAAAGAAACGGATGCGAGTTTTCGAAGAGCTGCTCCAAAAGGGGCAAATGACTATCTGAGCGGTTTTAATCTAAAAGGTAGCTCTTTAGCTCACTACTAGTCATGCACTCCTCATCATCGGGTGTCTGTAGTAAAATTACAGAATTGTAGCTTGGTGAAGGTTCAACGGACAAAACGTGAAAAATAACCGATCGTCTAGTAATGAATGAAACTTTCACGATATATATTTCATGCTGCTAGACAGCTTTCTTTCGGCTGTGCCACCATCATCTTCTCCTTTCATTTCGTTAATACTAGCAGTAATCCCATATCTTACGATGTTATTCATCCATTCTCTCATGCTTGCTGCTGCTATAGCCATTTTCGGCGCCGAGGCCACTTCAGAGTGTTGGACCAATGTTCATAACGAAACATTTGCTTGGTTCAGCAGTGCTCCCATCACATACAGCTTTCATATCGAAACAGCAAGCGAATGTGAACATTGGTGTGGCCAAACAATGAAATGCCAAGCCTGGTCTTATATCGGACATTCCAGCCAGTGTGACCTTTACCGTGCGACGGCAGTAGCCATTGCACCCAATAAGGGCTTCGTGTATGGCGGCTGTATTCCAAAGCCAACCGCAGGGCTATGGTCTGAGGCTGTCGTATCAACAAGTTCGCATCTTCCAATTTCGTCCGTCGCAGTTGCCGCTAGCAGTGATGCTGCGGCAAGTCCAAGCGGAGTGGTAAGACTCACCTTTAGCCCAATTCGATTGAGATAGCAAAGCTGACGCTAGCCTTGTGTATCCCTTGATAAAGGCTCATTCCAAGCGTGGAGTAGAGCAACACGGGCATTACCTTCAACATCGCTACCATTCCCATCGGTGATTCTCTCTGGCAAGCGACTGGACAAAGACCGAACGGGCCGCCGACGCCAAGATAAGCTAGACGCTCGGACTACTTACAAAGTAGTAGGTACTATCGCGTGGGTGGACCTTTATGGACTATCATGGGCATGGTTGAATCAATTGAACCTAGTGGCGGATAAGTATTCAGCCAGGTAGAAAGGTGGATGGAGCTAACCTGCTACTATGATGAGACCTGGACCCTTAGCTCAAATAAGTGGAGGAAATATGTAGCAAGATTAGGCAGCAATTACAGTATGTCCTTTTCTAGCCTACCACGCAAGGTGTCATTTATACACAATATCCCTAAGTTTTCGACTTTACTCGATCTGGTACCTGGCCTACAGTCAGGCCCCACACGCAATTTTAATCTTCTCCTTCCCAATCTGTCACCCTTCTCACAGTACGATAACTGGATAGTTAGTCTTCATTCTATTTTATGATTTCTTTCAATACCCTATGCCCCCCCTTATGTTAATCATTCGTCTCGGATTCTTGACCCAATCCCCCACTATATCAAATCGCGATGATCACGAAATCACTCCTCCCCTCTTGGCTCCGAATGTGCGTAACTCGGATAGTTTTAACTCTCATCTGAAGGTCTTAGCACTGACTCTATCCTACCAGCTTCCTACTGGGTCTGAGCATCTTCTCATTTCTACCCCAGCTGCAGCTCCTCTGGAAAAGCAAGAATAGCTCAGGTCTTTCAATCAACTATGTACTTTTAAACCTCATCTGTGCGACAGAGCAGTTTCTGCTTGTGCTTCTCTACAACAACACCCCAGATGCAGAGCAGAATATGTTTGTGGAGAATCCCGGATCCTTAGGAGACTGGATGAATCTGATTCAAATCACTGTTGTCTGGATACTTTCTGGCCTTACGTGAGTTTACATGTGCATTCATTGCCACTCGAGAAACATGTACTGACTCCAACTCTTGAAAAAGATTTACACTAAGCCTGCGATACCCCTCCGACTCATCCTTCCGAGTCAAGCTCTCCGCGGCCTTATCATACATTGTCTACCTCCTCGTAGCCGTCGTCCCGTCAGTATTCGTGGTCCTCACAAGCCGTAGAGGCGAGGATCCGCCCACCAGCGAGAATGAGTGGCAGTTCGCTCTCTGGAGTGGTGTACATCTCATATTTGTCAACCCGGTCATGACACTTCTTTTATTCAGCGCTGTGTTCTGTCAGGCGCCGAAATTGCTAAAGGGGGTGTCGCCGCCGCGGGCTTTGAGTCTTCCAGGACTTGCGATCCAAGCAGTTGTGTTCACGGTTCTTGCTTTGAGTTGGCCATTTCGGTTTGTATATCTCGATCCTGATTGGAATGTTTTTGCATCGTGGTTTGCGCTGTATACCTGGTATGTTTCTGTTGGTTGGACGGCTGTGGACTGTGCGGTCTTTGCGCTGGTTCAGGTGATTCTGCTGTGGTTGGCGGGTAGGAACAGGAAGCACTGGCAGTTGGCTGAGGATGGGGAGACTGAACCGTTGCTGGCTAATAGGAGATGATTGAGCCGGTTGATGTGTACATTGTCGGTTATTCACCGCTCCCAAGGCCTTGTTTTTTGGTGTCTCTCTTAGTCAATGGCTGAGTTGTAGACTTAATTCCCATTGCAGCTAAAGAGATTCCCAGTCCGCTGGTTTGTATGGGAAACGAAAATAGACAATATGATCTCATAGCACAGATACCCCTGTAGTTCTCTCTATTTCGTAAGCATGTCAGTTTATTGACGCTGTAGTCAAGGCTAGTCAAGGCTAGTAATAGCTCTTTTATATTGAAGCTATGATAGAGTTAAAACATACACTAGTATGTTCAAGTAGCAGGAATGATATAGAATAAGTCGGGTAGTAATAATACTAGGAATTATACTACCATTCCGACTCAATCGTTAGGTAATCCTATATAGACAAATCCCAATAGCTAGAGAAGGGAGCTTCTCCTTCTACCGGCTAGTACTATTAGCGACTCGAAGGGGGTACCATGGCTATATCATACCCGACGCTAAGTCATTAATCGAACAATCAATTGTCTTAACCTTTAGTTCACAACTGTGAACTCTATCATATCGGAAGCTGGTATCACCACCTCTGGCCGTCCATCATTATCGGGTGGACTTGTAATCACGCCGAATCCGATGACTGATACAATGGTATCTATATGATCTTCCTTTTTTCCCCAGTCCCACCAACTTAACCTGCATCCTTTGAACAGGTGTCGCATAACCTCTCCATCTCGAGCATCTTCTGGTAGATCAATCATAGTCTCAAGCTCTCGCACTTCAGTCCAGGTCTCGTTGGGCTGTAGTGACATAAAACTGTCGCTTGTACCCACTGCGCACGGAACATCTTCTTCCTCGAACACAGCGTATCCGGCCGTAGAATAACTGCGCCAGAAGTTCCACTCTCCCGTTTCCGGACTACGCCGATAGAAGCAAGATGCCTTCCAAGCATACAAGTCATTGACTGAGAAGGTAATTGGTCGGGGGGTCTCGTCTCCTGATACCCCATGGTAGGTAAGCTTCCAGGTCAAAGGCCAGCTTTCCTGGGTTCTCCATGTCGGCGGTGCTTCGATCTCGAGGGTAAGAATCGGTACGCCTGGGGCACTTAGCTGATGTTAGCATTCTACTACTACACACAAAATGAGCAGAGAAGTACTCACAGAGTGTCAGGATCTACTTCGAGCACAGGAGAACTTGAACGCCTTGGCCGCGGTGGCGGCGCACTACCTTCGATCAATCTGAAAGAGCATCGTGCGCCTCCAGGCAGTGTCATCGGGGTCGAGTTCGCCTCCAGCTCCGTGATTTCCAACGTTTCTTTACTTGTATCCTTCGATCCCCAATCCCAAAAATGAACCTCACCTCCGGGCCAGAAGAGCTCGTATGTGATCCATTCACTTTTTATAACGGATCGAGATAGATTCTCCCCAAGAGGGATATTCCACGACACGGCTTCATCATCCGCACCCAAGTACCAGAGGTGAAGAGGGGTTGATTGCCGCGTTATTGGTGAGGAGCAATCTGACTCCACCTCCACCTCCATTAGGCCCTCACTGGGCGAGTCACGAAAGACCCTGAATCCTTCATCGGTGCTGGGGGACCAGTAGAAGTAGCATGGCTTGGATTCCTGGTGCTCCTTGGATCTCGTGATAGTCACTGTAACGATATTCAAATTCGAGCTTTCAGTATAGAAGTTTTCGGGTGCAGTTAGAGTTACCTCCAGCGCTGGAGTATGTGGGCTTTCCGATCCCTT